GTTAGCAGTAAGCATAGAGCTATGGGGGCCCAGAGGAATAGCATATAGATCAGACAGGGATCCGGATGACTTCCCAGTTGAGGTAAGTAGGAGTCACCTGGGCAAGTCTAACTCCTAAAACAAGGACAGAACAACATAAGACCTATAGAAAAAAAGCTAAATCATGGTACTCATTCTGCATAAGAGCTATAAATTTAGAGAGATCACTTGGGCTGAATAATTTTGGAAGACTTCATGGAAAAGATAGGGTAAGTAGAGCGTAGATAGGTGGAAAAGAGAGGACATTCCAGGGAAAGCAGAGGTTTGGGGATGTGAGATGTGACTAAAGACCTAGGAGAACCATCCCCTGATAGAGACCTGTCAGGTAGAAGGGGGGTGTACGAACAATAGTGAGAAGTCAACTAGAAGGACATGCAACCATCATAGTTCTCTGTTGACTGAATGAGTGGATAAAGGTATGAAGTTTGCATTAAAGGATGGAGGAACTGGAGTCATAAGGAAACAGCCAAGCAACTGGTTCCATGTGGAAGGAGAAGAGGGACTGGACTGGGCTGCTGATACATTAAAAGTGACAGGCAGGGGCACCTGGGTAGCTCAGTTGGTTGAGCATCAGACTTCGGCTCAGGTCATGATCTCACAGTTCGTGAGTTCGAGCCCCGTGTCAGGCTGTGTGCTGATAGCTTGGAGCCTGGAGCCTGCTTCGGATTCTGTGTCTCCCTCTCTCTGCAACCTCCCACTCTTGTGCTCGGTCTCTCTCAAAAATAAATAAACATTAAAAAATTAAAAAAAAAAAGTGACAGGCATATGGGAAAATAAACCACTTATGTTAGAATAGATGAAAGCATCCAAGAAAACCTTGTCCTCACCATGGTTGGCTTTGGGGATGTATCCATTCACTCTGGGAGACCAGCCCACCTGAGGATTTTGAGATTTATGGTTTTTTTTTTCCAAGTTTGTTTGTTTATTTATTAGTAAACTTTACACCTAATGTGGGGCTCAAACTCACAACTCCAAGATCAAGAGTTGCATGCTTTTCTAACCAAGCTAACCAGGCATGCGCCACTCCCTCCCCAACCCCTAATCCCTGCCATAGGATTTTTAAGTAGCCTATTTTATTTATTTGTTTATGTTTTATGGTTGTTGTTGTTTTTTAAGTAGGCTCCACATTCAACTAATGACCCTGAGATCCAAGATCTGAGCTGAGATCAAGAGTCAGACGCTCAACAAACTGAGCCACCCAGGCGCCCCAGTAGCCTATTTTTAAAACTTACCTATTAAAAAAATTTAACGTAAGGGGTGCCTGGCTGGCCCAGTTTGAAGAGTGCAACTCTTGATCTTGGGGTCTAGAGTTCAAGGCCCACGTTGGGTGTAGAGATTACTTAAATCACTTAAATAAGTAAAACTTTTTTTAAAATGTAACATGGGGGGGGTGGGGACCTGGGTGGCTCAGTTGTTTAAGTGTCCAACTTTGGCTTGGGTCATGATCTCAGTTTGTTGAGTTCAAGCCTCACATCAGGCTCTCTGCTGTCAGCACAGAGCTGGCTTCAGATCCTCTGCCCCCACCCCAAATAAATAAATATTAAAAATAATAATAATAATAATCTAACATGGGGTACCTGGGTGGCTCAGTAGATTAAGCATCTGAGTCTTGATTTTGGCTCAGGTCATGATCTCACAGTTTGTGGGTTTGAGCCCTGTGTTGGGCTCTGCACTGTTGGTGCTTGGGATTCTCTGTCTCCCTTTCTGCCCCCTTCAAAAATAAATAAACATTTAAAAATAAAAATAATCTGGGGCACCTGGGTGGCTCAGTCGGTTGAGCGTCCGACTTCAGCTCAGGTCATGATCTCGTGGTCCGTGAGTTCAAGCCCCGCATCAGGCTCTGTGCTGACAGCTCAGAGTCTGGAGCCTACTTTGGATTCTGTGTCTCCCTCTCTCTGCCCCTCCCCCACTCATTCTCTCTCTCTCTCTCTCTCTCTCTCTCTCTCTCTCTCTTTCAAAAATAAACTTTTAAAAAAATTAAAAATAATCTAACATGAAACAAATTATTCTATAGTTTAGGCAATCTTCAGTTTACTAGATGAAGGGTTAAACTAAGATTTTGGGGATTGCCTACTGCTTCCTCTACCATTTTTATTCTTTCCCCAACACCCTACTCTGTACTCACATGACCTCACCCCCCAAGTGTCATGTTTTTTCATTTTAACCCTATCATAAATTAAGTTAAAGATAATTTATAATTTACTAAGATTTGAAATAACTGTTTACTATGAAGCCAAGATAAACTCTACATGTCTAGTCGATGGCCCCAAATAAGTGTACTTATTATTTTTGTGGACAATTAACTTTCTTTAGAAATCAAAGCAAATGCCACATTTACTCACATACTAAATGAAAGGACTAATGTCATCACATGTTTGTCTAAGTATTTCATCTTATGGTATGGTTCCTCAGTAGGTCTATCCCTTCTTTGCCTAGGATTGTCCAGGTAGCTCTGTCCTATGAGATAAAACTAAGCACAACATATAGGTAATGCATTATTTAAGAGATGTTCATGAGAAGGTATCTGTTTGCTGAAAAGAGCATGAATTCAGTTCATATCTTAGCCCATTCATGGGTTGTAAAACTGATTTAGCAGGGTGCAAAACAGTGTTTTCAAAAGTGAAGTAAAACAGAAACTATCAGAGTTATTTGCATATAGTAAGGGTAAGTATTAGTTCCTGAAACCTTTATTTCAGCGAAGGTACGTCTGTGTATTCTTGATCATGATATAAAATGTACTTCTTATTGTGGGTTGAAGTAAAACAACCTTGAAAAAGTGACTTAACCGTTCTGAAGTTTAGCTTCCATAAAATGGGATAAAATCTCTTTCACAGGGTTGTAATGAGGAACAAAGGAGGTAATATTTGTATTCATACACAGTAGGGGCTTGGCCAACAACTGCTGGCTTCTTTATCTTTTCTCTGGAGGAAAAAAAAAAACCCCTAATTTCTGTGGCTCAGGGAGAAAAAGTTGTTCTTTATAATTTCTTTAACCACAGGGGTATTTAAAATATAACAGGAGTTACATTATGAACTGGGTCCGCTAGTTATACCAACTTTTGATGACTAAGCCAACTTCTTTACCTGATTTGGTTAAACTTAAATAAATAAACGACATGGGGTGGATCAGTCAGTTGAGCATCCAACTCTTGATTTTAGCTCAGGTCACAATCTCAGGGTGATGGGATCGAGCCCCACATTGGGCTCCATGCAATCAGTACTGAGCCTGCTTGGGATTCTCTTTCTCTCTCTCTCTCTCTCTCTCTCTCTCTCTCTCTGCCTCTGCCCCTCTCGCCTGCTCACACTCTGTCTCTAAAAAACAAAATAAAATAAATGACATTACCTGACCTTGGTACTTTCCTGCCCTCCCTATACTCCAAGGTGCCACACACACATATACTTTTCCATCAAAACAAGAGGTGTCCCACACACATAGGACAGTACAGTTTCCCATAGGGTCACATCATCCATGTGCAACCATCTACACCTGCAGTGGCTCCCTGGGACCTAGGAAGGAGGCAAATGGTACTTTTTCTAGCAAAAGAAAATTTTCAAAAATAGGTTCAATGTGGTGGGGAATTTTAGAATTCCTAAGTGTTATGCTTTTAATTTAATATGGGAAACAGAATAGCATTCAGCTTTATAATTTGACAACTGAAAGCAAATAGGATGAGAGAAGAAAACTAGTCAATATTTACTTGTTAACATTTTTAATTTATTCATTTATGAAAAATAACTTTTTCCAAACCAAAAAGAAAAAAAATCGGTAAGACAGTTGGTATTGTTTTACATTTTTGGAAATCCCTTTATTTTTTTTTTTCAACGTTTATTTATTTTTGGGACAGAGAGAGACAGAGCATGAACGGGGGAGGGGCAGAGAGAGAGGGAGACACAGAATCGGAAACAGGCTCCAGGCTCTGAGCCATCAGCCCAGAGCCTGACGCGGGGCTCGAACTCACGGACCGCGAGATCGTGACCTGGCTGAAGTCGGACACTTAACCGACTGTGCCACCCAGGCGCCCCTGGAAATCCCTTTAATGCCTAACTAGATTCTTGTATCTGCTTCTGCATTCCATCTGTTGCTGTATCAACAAATATAATTTCTGCCCCTGTGGTAGAAACTAAAGATACAGCTAGAATACAAAGGTGAATCCCTTCCTGCCTTGGGTTCGGACTAGAGGGGTTTGGAGACTCACAGAAACAGGAGAGTAACAACAACAACCACCCCAGAGAAAGAAAGACCAAGTCATACAGAGATGCAAAGAAGTTCACATGTGAGCCCTTAGAGTCATAAACACAGAAAATCAACATACTTCTGCTTAATATTGTTTGTAGGGGAGGAAAAAAGTGGGGATCTCACTTGGTTAATAAAGGACTTAATAACTGCCTATGGCTATAAAAAGTTCCACTTAAAGTTTGAACAGAGATGTTCCTGAAATCTTGTTTTGTTGTTGTTATTGGAAAATAAAAAACTTCCTACTATAAAAAGTAGGGCTTTCACATCTGTTTTCACACTGTTTCAAAAGCTGGTCTGAGGCCCTTTGGAATCCTATCCACTGGAAGGGAGGGATGTATGACATTTTAAACTCTAGGCTAAAGCAGGATCATCACCTCTGACCCTTGCATGACAGCTGATTGGGAGCTGGCCAAGAGTTGCAGGACCTAACAGGTGGGTTGGTGATTCTCTCCTCCAGACCAGTGGTGACAAATTTAAACTATCTATGGCTCTATGGCACTCTTGTCCTCTTTCTCCGCTCATCTTTCATAACTGTACTCCTGCTTTAACCAAGTTTATCAGCTTGCCCTCAAGCAAATTCCCATCTCTATTCTTCATACAATTTTTTAGTCTTCAGAATGCTCTCTCCTTTTTTGTTCTGCTGGATCATGTCCAATATCTCTTCTAAGACCTGACTTATAGTATTTTTTGAGAAGTCTTCCATTCATTTGTTCACCATAATACTGAGTGGCTAGGCCTTCCATATTAATTCATCAGACTCCTCTATGTTCCTTCAGCAATTGGATAGCCCATTTGTTCTACTTTTGTACATACTGCATTGCATGTTTTACATAGGTATTTTATTTTTTTTTTTTAATTTTTTTTTAACGTTTATTTTTGAGACAGAGAGAGACAGAGCATGAACAGGGGAGGGGCAGAGAGAGAGGGAGACACAGAATCAGAAGCAGGCTCCAGGCTCCAAGCCATCAGCCCAGAGCCCGACGTGGGGCTCGAACTCACGGACTGCGAGATCGTGACCTGAGTCGAAGTCGGACACTTAACCGACTGAGCCACCCAGGCGCCCCTTACATAGGTATTTTAAAGCGACTACTCTTTATTCTGCTTCCCTATTAAACACAGAAGCAATGCCCCTCTTTTCTTTCATTATCCTATATAGTTGTCCAAATAACAGTAATATATAGTACCATGGTAGTAATCTATACCTCTTTTAATCCTCACAAAGCCTGTGAAGTGTTAAAATTCCTGTATCCACTTTACAGACCTAGAAACAGGTTCAAAGCGGTTACTTCAGTCCCCCCAAATCAAACAGCCTTTAAGTGGCAGGGAAGGTGGCATCCAAGATCAGGGCTAGCTTCAGAAATCTAGCCTCAACGTCGAATGTCCCAGCGAGACTGGGACTGAGGTTCTGAGAGAAAGGGCTCCCAGTCAAATCAATCAATATTGACAATATACAAAACCAACACCAGAGGTCCATTGCAGGGCGCGTTTTTATTTGTTTAGCTGCATATGGTTTGGTTTGGAAAGAGGGGTTATGATCACTCACCTCTCCCAATTTAGGCCCGTCCAGCCCCTCCCTGGAGAGATCAACGTCCGGAGGCTGGAGGCCAAAGGACCCAGGCAGGTGGTGACCTCGGAGGCAGAATCGCGGCCTCGAGTCGCGCCGGTAACGGCGAAAAGATTGACGCGGTTGGACCGCGCCATTTCCGAAGCGACAAGGGGCGTAACCTTGGAAGCTTCCTTAAAGATGAATTGGAAAAGGGTGTTGAGGGTGACTATCTTCCCCGCCCGCCCTTTCTCTTTCTCCTCTCCCGGCTGGGTCCCCTGCGTGTATCCCACGGTCTGATTTACTAAGAGAGTCATGTGGAACAGGGGAGGGGGAAAAGCCACTGAGAGCAATTACGGTAACTCGGTGGCTAACGCAAAAGGACTTATTTACATATAATTTGCATGCTCAGATACTTATGGAAATACCCGATATGTCTGTACTTCCTTTCTAACAGGTCATCCGCACCCGCCTGCTTGCCTGCTCTTCTCTCCTCTAGGGCGGGAGCCCGGTCCCTTATCCAGTAACTTTTACGACCTTTTCGGTTACCCAGCCTGGCACACGCTACCTCCTAGCCTTCGGAAGATTGACCCCTCCTCCCACCCGTAGGCTCCTCCCTTCGTCTTCTCCCTCTCCTGCTTTCAAAGGCCTCTTCCCCGCCCCCTTTTCTATTTCTGAACAGGCATGTTGCAGGCAGCTCAGCCGACTCCTTAGATTGCTATGGGATTGGTAGGGTCCTGAGCATCGAAGAAGCAGGAAGGCACATCCCACGAAGAGCTGCTGGGACTCACGAGAAGACTCGAGCCCTTCTGGGATTTTATTATCTGTCTGTTATTTTTGGTCTTGCTTTTGTGGAGGGAGGGAGAGGAGGCTGTGCGGCTCGGTCGAACTTGAGGCAGCGCGAAGGCCCCCTCAGGCGGCGCCGAGGGCAGCCCCGAAGCCGGGGCCTGGCTCAGCCGCCGCGGCCGCTGTCAGGGAAGCGCAGGCGGCCAATGGAACCCGGGAGCGGCCGCTGCTGCTGAGGCGGCGGTGTCGGCAGCCCGACCCCGACCGCCCGCACCCCCTCTGCGGGGTTCTCCCGGAGGTAAGCGACTCCTACCCCGAGAGTCCCCCTGGCCCTTGTGAGTGGGGGTGGGGGGGCCCTCTCCCACCCTGTCCCGCACAGCCTCTCCCCGCCCCCACACCTGGGTTCAACTACAAAACTGACGTCCTGGTGGCAGCTGCACCCCGAGTATCTTCTCCACTCTTTTCCCTCAAGCCTAGGGTCCTCTTATGCTTTTTTGGCTTCCTCTTCTGTTTAGCTCCTCCCTCTGCCCCGGGGACCCCCCCCCCCCCGGTCCCTGTTGCCTCTGTCCCGAATTATTTTCTATTAAATCATGAACCCTTTCCACATCAGGACACCTCTTGTAATGCCCACCCTTGTTTGCCCTTCCTCGTCATCTGTGTTCCCGCCCCAAACCTTTCCCACAGCCACCGCCTTCATCCCCTTTCCTATTTTGCCCCTTTTCTCCGATGTGTTCGTGCAGCCCCAGCACTGGGTTCCACTTCCCCGTGGCCCTCTTCCTCTGTTTCTGATTCCATTACCTCACTGCCACCCACCCAGCTCCTGGCTTTCAAGAATTGTCTCTTCCTCTCTCCTTAAGGAATCTCAGGCCCTCATCGGCATTCCCAAAGTACCATTTGCATTGTACTTTGACCTTAATTCTTACCCTTCTTCTCTAGAGTGCTTTATGAGCCCTGTAACTTTCTTTAGCTTCCCTTTCATCCCTCCTCAAACCCCCCAACCTCTGGAGGTTTGTTCCTATAGAAGAGAAAAGATCTGACAGTGCCCCTTTCCATTCGGGATTTCCAACTTTGACACCTTCTGCCTCGAATTTCAAGGATTTTTCTGATCCTTGTGACACTTGATTTTGTTTTCCATGTGGTCTTCATGTGCTCTCTGTCACATTCTTCATCTTTACATACCACTTATTTCAGGATCAGCTAAACCTTGAACTGAGATAAAATGTGTTGGGAGGAGGGGGAGCCTCAGCTGTCTCACTCAGGCTTTTCTGGACAGAAGGGTGTTTCTGAAGGATGGAGCAAGTTTTGAAGAAGTCCCTATCAGATTACACTTTGTTGACTACTCAGGATCAGCCACTAGGAGGGATGAACAGGCCTGCATGGAGACTGAATGAGGTTGTGAGAAATTTTGTTTTGGATTACTTAATTTTAGGCTTGTCTTTTTTTTTTTTTTTTTTTTTTAAAATTTTTTTTTTTAACGTTTATTTATTTTTGGGACAGAGAGAGACAGAGCATGAACGGGGGAGGGGCAGAGAGAGAGGGAGACACAGAATCGGAAACAGGCTCCAGGCTCTGAGCCATCAGCCCAGAGCCCGACGCGGGGCTCGAACTCACGGACTGCGAGATCGTGACCTGGCTGAAGTCGGACGCTTAACCGACTGCGCCACCCAGGCGCCCCTAGGCTTGTCTTTAAGGCATCACAGAGTAGAGTGTCTTCCCACCCCTGTCCAGATCCAGGAATCAGTTTACTGTCTGTGGCTTACTGGAATAGTTTTGGTTGATTCTATAAGAGCTTAGGCCTGGGGTGGGGTTGGGAGGTAACTGGGAAAAGGAACATGAGACATTAGAAAAAGGTTGTACATTCGGAATCAGGATTCCTGGGTTCAGCATATGACTTCCTCACTTGACCTCTAGAGTGATCTTTTGGGGAGAATGGCCCACTCTGTGGGCATTGGTGTGTAATAGGCTATTTGTAGGATGTGGGTTAGGGGAAAATTAGACTTTGTTTGTTTACAGAACATTATGGGTTTCTCAGACAAAAGGCACTTATTAGTAGTGGCTTAGCTGACCTGAGACTTTTCCTTCATTGTGGTCTCTCTGTTGGGTCTTTCTAGTTGCCAGCTGTGGTGATAAGTCCGTTTGAAAGACAAGCTCCAGGCCTGCCTCCTCTGTTTGCCTTGCTTTTTTGCCCCACTGCATGAAATTACTGACCACCTCTGCTGTTCCTCATGGACTTGGTCCATAATCCAAATTTTATAGGTGGGAAGTATGTTTGTGGGAAAGCCCTTGGAGGGAGATGGCTGGAGAAGAACTTGGAAACGTGCTCCCTGTGTCCATGTCTCCCGGCCTATGACAGTGAAAGGGCTGGTGAAGTTCCATTCATCTTCCGACTCTAGGCTGTCTGAAAGTAATCATGCTTCCTCCTCCCCCTTCTTCCTGGTCTCCCTCCTTGCTCCTGAGCCAGAGCACAGCCTCCTCATCTCCCCTTTTAGGAGGACTGTCACTCTTTTCAAATACTCCCAAAGAGAAATCCTGTTTCCCCTAGCTTCCCTGCTTCATTCTCAGAGCTGGGTCCACGCCTCATGAGAACATGTTTGCCAAACGCCATCCAAAGCAGCAGATTGAAATTCTTTGATTTGGGGAAGAAGTTTGGGTAGAACCTTTCAGCAATTGGCAGGAGACAAGACAGGGCCTAGTCCAAGCACATTTGGGGCTTGCAACAGGGAGTAACAGTTCAGAGAGAGGTGAGTGCACAGGTTACTTTCTTTGCCATCTGTCTCTTTCAGCAGGGGCTCCCAGAGCTGGCTTGGACTGTCTGGCTGGAATCTGCCTACACCAGCTCCCATGGCCCTGCACAGAGACTTCTCAGCCTGATTCAATATTGACTTAACTACCCTGCCCTCCCTACCCTCCTGCTGCCCACTGCCCTCCCTACCCTCCTGCTGGTAGCTTGAGAATGCCCTCTTCCCTGATACCAACTCCCCACTGGGGCCTTGGGGAAGCACTTACCTGGTTCCTGCTAGGGCCTGAGCCTGCTTGACTGTTCAGCCCGGAGTTTCTAGAGGGGAAAAATAGTACTCAGTCTCTACCTTATCCATTGAGGTCAAGGGGGAAAGATGAGCAGAGACCTTCTTCAAGGAAGGTTTGAGTTAGACTTTAAGATATAAGAAGAAACTTCTCAACAGCACAACAGGCAGCCTAGGGTGATGTGGAGTCTCTTTGGAAGAGCAACCTCTTTTTAAAAATTACTATCAAAGGTGGGGCGCCTGGCTGGCTCAGCTGGTGGAACACACCTCTTGACCTCGTGCTTGTAAGTTCAAGCCCCACGTTGGGTATAGAGATTACTTAAAATTATAAAATCTTAGGGGCGCCTGAGTGGCTCAGTTGATTAAGCGTCTGACTCTTAATTTTGGCTCAGCTCATGATCTCATGGTTTGTGGGATCAAGGCCTGCACTAACAGTGTGGAGCCTGCTTGGGATTCTTTCTCTCTGCCCCTCCCCCCACACTCATGAGCTCCCTCTCTAAATAAACATTTAAATAAATATGTAAATAAATAAATGTTTGAAAAATTATTATCAAAGGCAAACATATACTGGGTAACAAATCCAGTGGCACTTTTATGATGAGATCAACAGTTCCTTTCCATTCATCCCTACTCCTATTCCTTTAATGTCTTCATTATCACAATATTTGTTTCTGAAGGTTAGCACTGTAGCATTGGATAAAATGCTTGTGCCTCTATTTCTTGATTTATTAATTGTAACAAAAGAGGATTGAACTTTAGAGGATTTGCACTTCTCGTTTATATAATTGTCACTTTTATTTATTAGAAGCCTGTGTAACTATAAATAACATATGTGACCCTCCCTTTCTTTTCCATGAACTTGTAAAGGTCTCTACTTTTTTAATGTTTTATTTATTTTTGAGAGAGAGTACGGGCAAGGGAGGGACAGAGAGGTGGGGGGGGGGGGACACAATACGAAGCAGGCTTCAGGCTCTGAGCTGTTAGCACAGAGCCTGACGCAGGGTTCAAGCCCACGAACCGCGAGATCATGACCTGAGCTGAAGTTGGATGCTTAACCGACTGAGCCCCCCAGGCGCCCCTGTAACAGTCCCTTTCAGCTACTCACCTTGTAGGATTAAGATAGTGGCTTCACTACCTTTTTTTCTAACTCACATGATCCATCTCAAAGGGAGGGAAATTGAGCTTGCCAACCTGCTTGGAAATTCAGATGTTCTCTTAAGACTATTCTTTGAAAATACAGGAACGTGTAAAAACATGAGGTTTGGTTTGAACCAATCCATATTTATCTATTCCCCCAAGAAGGGAATGGTGGTTAAGTGGGTGAGAGGATTGATTTGGGGCTTTTTACCTCCTATCCTAGCAGAGGCCAATCCAGGAAGGCCTTTAATGGAGACCAGTACAGGGGTGGAAGGTTGTTGCTTGGAATCTTTTGAGAAGTGGGAAACCAGGTTAAACATCCCCTCCCCCTAGAGGTTTTGCAGACATTTACTTAAATCCTAGGTCACATAGAACACATGCATGTATAGCTTTTCTGTCTGCCCCTGCTGCGCTCTGCCCTGAACGGTCGCCTGATGCTCAGATGAGGATTCCCTACATTGCCCAGACAGTAAGCTGTGGAGCCCAGTCAGTTTTTAACACCCCCCACTCCCATCGCAGTGCCTAGAAGCCAGCTGCTAGACTGCGGCAGGGGAGGCATTTTCAGTCCCCTTTATCTAATTGGAAGGACAGTTTAGATTCCCAGTGTGAAATGTGGGGCTCAGTTGTTTGAACA